CTGAGATCAACAGATATGCTTTGATCTTATCAGACAGGCAGCCGACTAGTGTCAGTCCTGCAGTCCTTTTTTTTTTTTCTTCTTCCTGATCCTTTTTGAGGGAAATCATCCAAGCTTTGTGGTTAAGAATCTTTTCTGGGAACAACAGGGATCAAATAGAATCAAATCCAGACAGGACCCTTCAGAATCAGCAACTACTAAATCTGTTTTTCACAATTAACTAACACACATATTTACATATTGATGGCTTTTGTATGATCCAAATAAAAGGTAAAACTATGATCAAAAACTGCTCTTTGGCTTATTTCAGAGATAATCACCCAGACATGGGTGATCATCTGATCTGACCCTGAGTCAAGTCACCTGGCGGGCGTTTGTGAGCAGAGCATTAGCATCAGAGAGAGCGACAATTAGCTGACCCCTCCCGGCACGTCTGAGCACCAGCAGGTCCTGTAGGCCTTTCATGGCTGTTTAAAGGAAACAACAGGCCACACTGCTATCTAACTGAGGGCAGACGGCAGGGGGGGGGGGGGTTATCAGAATATCAGTTTCCATATCAAACTGCAAAACAAACAGCTCGCCTCTTTTGTAGCCGTTTCAGACGGCCTGCATACCAGCCGTGGTAACAGCAAACCCTGCAGGGGAGATATTGTGTTTGTACCCGACTTATTTTAGTTACACTGCATGAAAAAAGTGATAATTTCTTCACCATTACTTAAATAAATCACTTTCGTCATTTATTTTTCTAAAAGTCCAAGCCATATGGGTCATTGTCTTTTTTTATACCATGAAGAAGAGTACATTTTCAAATTTAAAAAAAAACAAAAAATTGGGACTTGAGCTTGTTGAATGATTGATAATAAAAACTGCTTTTTTAAAGGCTTGCCACTGAACAGCAGGTTATTTCCTCAATGATAAGTAACTTGGTGAGCTGAGGTTCACTGAGTTCAGTTGGTTTCTTAGTTCAGCTAGTTTAAAAAAAAATTAAAAAAAATAGAGTTGTATTTTTATAGCACCAGAGAGAACTTAATAATGAACACCTCAGCACCTCTAAATTATGCGTAGCTATGCTGGCTGTAATAATGTTGGTCTGGATGAAGGTATGTGTCTGCTTCCAAAAAAAGACCAGACAAGTGTTAAGACAGCTTCTGAAAATCCTGCCAAGAGTGACGGGAAAGAGGCAATATAGGTCCATCACCTGTTTCAGACATTAATAATGCAGATGACAGCCCAGATATGTGGTGTGAGTTATTACTGCAATCAAACAGGTTCTCGTCCAGCTGGCTCTGCGGCTGCAGCGGGGTCTTAACCACCAGCAGACTCTCCCAGATCCAGACTCAAGATAGAGAATCTGAGAGTAGACTCAGTCAAAACCTTCAAGCAGCATTTGTCTTGTAGGGGGAGTGCATGTGAGAGGCCTGAGCTGCATGCCGGTGGTAGAGCTCTTGTCTTAATGCAGCAGAGAAAAGAGGAAGAGTTTGTATTCATGGCTATCTATAGACAGGAGTGGTGCCTGTGACATAGCAGCTGCTCCCAAGAGCTGTGACACATTAACCTTCAGCCAGCTGTCTTGGCCTACCGCTTTAACATGAGCTCACTGACACACACTCAGACTCACTTATATTAGCATTTAACCTTAGAGAGGGAATTAAAAAAATCAATGAAGTTTGGTTTGGTCAAAAACAAATGTATTAATTAATACACACATGTTCACTAACACATACACGCGCACACAACCCTCATACACATAGTGAACCATCATCTGATCTGCACTGGGACTTGGAGGATCAGCACCCGGTGGCTACAGCTGTTTCACAGCGGGTCAGGTTACCATCTGACCAATGCCCCAAGGCCTTCACCAAGGCAACAGCCCCACCTTAACTACCACACGCGGGCAACACTGTCCTCACAACACTCCCGGCTGAACTGCAGGTAACAGGCTCAACACAAGGGATGTTCAGCGTGCTTCTCCGCCTGATGCTCAGACACACACACACACACTTGCCAGGGAGTTCAACCAGTTGTGGCTGTCAAACTGAAAGCTTCTCACAGGAAATGATTGAGAGAAAATGCTTTGACAGCGCTTTCATTCAGCCTTCAGCAAAACAACAAAATCTGTAAAATGTTGAACCGCGGATAAAAACCGCAGTACGTTTTCTGGTCCTGACCACAATGCTTGTTTCTTTCTTTAGATAAAACAGTATCTGGATCATAATTTGAAGATTTTATTAAAAACAAACTTTTTGTTCAGCTGTTAACCTTCAAGAGATGTGTGGATACTGGCAGGTTGGAGGCCCGATTGAATCTATGTGTAGAAATCCTTTTCATGAAATATATTCATCAGTACCCTACAGGGACTTCTGGAACCATTTTTGTATCTGCAGATTTTGGTTATGTGAACATCAATGAGCATGGATCTAAATGCCAGCTTTGTCGATTAGGAGGAAAAACAGGTTAATTTATGTGCTTCCAATCTGAGCTTGTTAGGTATCAAAAGAGACCAGGAACAGGTCAGAATCAGGAGCAATAACAAGTACAGGGGAGAGAGGACCACTGGAGAACAGGGCAGGTGTCGCGGTGAGTGACCGGTTTTAGCTTATAGGGTTTACTAAAACTGTGTTCACAAAACATTTTTGTAAAGTTTGTTTACACATAGCAGCTATAAGAAGCCTAATTTTTAATCACCAGGACAATCAGGACATGCCGCTTCCCTTAAAGAGTTTAGGACTGAGCATGTGGACGGATCCGCACGGTTCCGTATTGATAGAGTAAACACAGCCTCTTACTGAAATAATACGGATACTGTATATGCTGTATGTATGTGCACTTAAACATCTGTAATAAATAAAGAGAGAAAGTGTAACACAGAGGAGTATGAGCTAAGGCAGGTTCAGGGAACACAAGTCAGCCATGTGATGTGATATCACACTTATCAGCAGCTTTACTGAAAATAGTCACTTTTTCCACTAGATTTGTGCCCTTATGTCTTGTAGACGGAGGAAAAAAATGTTTAGCCTTGTCATCTTATGTATCTTATGACACAATACAGTTACAATTATAAGGATAAATCGATTAGTCATTCAGCAGAAAACAAATCCAAAACTGTGTGAACAATTTGACGCTTGAGACAAAGCTGGACTTGGCTGAAGATCTTGTAAAAACGTTCTGCCTTTCGGAGGAGAGGTGAAAAGACTTCAAGATCTTAAACCGAGTCCAGTTGCCCTTGGATCAATCTTTGAATTGACCTTAACCTGGATGACTGAGAACCTTCACAGATAACGAATAAACATTTGCAAGGTAATGTTTTCAAAGAAACACTCACAGTGTTTACTGTTTCCTATGTGTCAAGTGTTAAAATGTGTTAGCTTCCAAGTCCCATGTGATATTAAACTGAGTTATTGTGAATAAAAAAAAGAAAAAAATACTGATGTCTTCTCGGGCTTTAGGAAACTGTTTTGGTTATTATTGAGTAATTACAGACATTTTGGAGACTTTCACTTCTCAGGGAAGAAAATCTACAGCATATTAAATATGCTGTAGATATATAAATATAATTGGAACCCTGTTTCTGTTTTGTTTTCCAAACTTTCTGTTTCTGAGCAAGCTACAGTTTTAAGGTCTCTTTACCATTTATATTCCTGAAGCCCTCATTACAAGATGGATCAATACATTCTTAGTGTTGAAAAGATTGTTGATAGTTACATGAATGATTGTGTTGTTGCAACCCTAAATAATGTTGAAAATCAAGGTGATTATTCTTATTCAAGCATTAGAAAACATTCAAAATTAAGGTGTTTTTTTTTTTTTTTAAACCTTTGAGACTGAGTTCTTAGTTCTCTTCCCTGTACATGTAACAAAAAAGAAAATAAATTGAATGCATTATAAAGGCTATGTTTTACACATAGAAAGAGTCCAGTCTAATTAAACAGGAGTTGAACATTAGTATGGATGAATTACGTCTTGAATACATTTCAAAATCACACAATCTGGTGAGTGACTCAGCAGACTAAGAAAAAAGGCTGTCAGTATCAAAAAAAATAATAATAATAATAATTAAATACGGCAATAAATATGTAAACACATTGTGTCCTGGGTGATTTCACATCAAATGTACTTCCTCATCAGTTTTGCCATGAGGATCCCTCCCCCTCTCCAGAACAATGATGTCTTCCTTTTTGGACATCCTGCCAACTTCACACTCATCTCATCTCAGCCCCCCCCCCCCCCCCTCACACACACACACACACACACACACACACACACCACAGGTTAACTCCCCACTGGAAGGAGGACAGAGGTACAGGAATTCATTGTGTTGAAATTCCTGAAAGCTGCAGGAGTCTTTCACAAAGTGTGTCCCATGAAAGTCTGATGTCCTGTGCTGTGCTGCCCCAGCTTATATACAGATGGTTACTACTGGACCCAGAGTACAGGGTGTGTGTGTGTGTGTGTGTGTGTGTGTGTGTTCACGGGCTGGTACAGTTTGCTCAGTGCTTCCAAATAGTTTGAATAAACGAATTGAATAGGACATCTGTGAAATGTGGGTCAGTGAGTAGTAGCAGCTATGCAAGACGATACATGCATAGCAGAGCAAGTAAGCCCTCCCTTCCTCCAGCCAAACCCCACACAGTTTACTGACAAGAAAAATAGCCGATTGTTTGTGTTGCTCTTACAACAAACCTGACACACAATGTTTAACTCAAGAGGGCATGAATGATACCACTTACACAACTCCCTTCTTTCGGGTTTAATGCTGCCTGTAGTTAACCTGTTTGTTTTGGTGATTTAGTTACCTTTCCACCGGTGAATAGCTGACACAACAAACAGAGCATTCACACACACACACACACACACAGGGGTTCTGTGAAGTAAACATTGCTTGCATTGTTTAGCCTGTTTTTTTGTGTCAATGCAGGGTGGTAGAAATGTTACCAAGTGGTTGCTGTTCCCCGAGGTTAATTCACATAAAAAGTTACGCAGTAAAATGTAAGCTCTCTCACCAGAAACGATGAGCGTTACTCCGACCGGAGTCCCCGACCTCGGAGCTTCTTCTCAGGCCGGATGCCGTCTTTCCCTCCGAGCGTGAAACAAAACAAAAAAAAAACACACACCGACGGCTCCTTCTTCTTCTTCTCCTTCTTCTTCTTCTTCTTCTTCTTCTTTGTGGTTTCCGTACGGTGGTGGCTACTTTCTGGTCTCCGGTGTGTCGCTCACACCCGAGGGGCTTTAACCTTCGGCCGCCATGGCTTCGTCAGACCGCGTCAAAGTTTCACCCCCGGGTAAGAAAATCAGAAGCTTTGTTGGTGGTTTTGCGTGTCGGAGAGAACCATGGCAGTGTGTGTGTGTGTGTGTGTGAGAGACGATGGTGATTACTGGTTGATCTCTCTCTCTCTCTCCCTCTGCCTGCTGACGCTGCCACCAACACCGCACACGGCCGTGTCATCAGTCTGTCAGCGGGGAAACAGGGCCACCCATCGGCTGCTGAGTGAACAGGCAGCGGCGCAGACTGTGTGGCCCCACAGAGACCCCTAGTGGACAACATGCAGCACTGCTACAAATATGCAAACACATTTCACAAGTTCATTTATTACTCAGTGGTGGAGAACACCTTGAATGTATTTTACCAAGTCCTCTACTGAACTTTCATTGTAAGATTGAAAGTAACTGTTGCAAATTGTCCCTTAGGCCCCTTTTATACAAATAACCAGCAATTCAAAGGCACACAGAGCAGTAAATTAACAACAGTGCAAGTAAACGAAACATTTTAACCTAAATGTAAAGTGTCAATTTAAATACAACTTAAAGCTTAAACTTAACTTAAAAATACAAAATATAAAAGAGTAGATATGAGTGGACAGTGATCGGACTAACAGATGTAAACAGATGTAACCAGAACTATGTGCAGTAGTGACCAGATGTAAACAGATGTAAACAGAACTATATGCAGTAAACGAGATATAAATATATATATACAGAGCTATGTGCAAGTAGGCAAATACTCAATGATAAGTTATTAAGGTGCATGGTGAATAATGGAACAACAGAACTATACAATATAACTGTAAAGGTAAAAATGAGATAAATAAAGTGACCGTAGTGCAGTGATGGATAAGAAACAACAGGAATAAATTAACCAGAACTGTATGAATACTGATATAAAAGGTGAGAAATGCTAATTAACCAGAGCCACACATTACCCTTTTTCCAATTCCTTTTTTCATCCAATCACACAATCCTCAAAGCTTTTTTATTTTAAATTGAAAGTAAGATGTACATTTTCACATTTGAATAATCGTCAAATTGTGCATCATGTCAATGTATTAATCGACTAATTGTTTAGCTGTGCTTGTGAACTTTTTCTTAATCGCAGTAATGTTTATTATTACGTTTGCTGCTTGCCTTATTGGCCAGGTCACCCTTGTGAAAGAGAGCAGTGACATTAAAACTTGTTGACTGTTGAATAAAATCTACAGATTCAGTCTGATTATGTGCGGCTGATGAAAGTAACAAAGATCTTTCTCTCATGCTTCCCTCACTCTCTTATTTAAAAACCCTTCCTTTAACTTCCTCTCACTTCCAATAGCAACAATCCCTCCACCTTGGATTGCCTCATTAAACAATTTAAACATTCAGTCTTTTCTGGAGCACAGCCAGAATTCAGGTAGAGGGGAGGGGATCCAGCAAACAGAAGTCTGCATACTTTCCGGGTGGATTTTATGCAGAAGCACGGAGAGAAAGCGGCCTTGTTGAGGGTCCTGCTTCAACTGTACCTAAGAGGGAAATAAAATCAGCTGCAGCACTGGGCCCGCACTTCTTTCCCCCAGTCTGTCATCCATGTTTAAGTGGGAGATTGATACTTAACTTTTGGAGGTTTTATTAACCAAGGGAATGGAGCTGATTCAGCCTGACAATGAGCCCTAGAGTCAAACAAGTTATCCCACTGCCTAAAAATAGGAAAGCTACATTTAATGGTCCTCGTAATCATCCCATAAACGTGTTACCAGCACTAAGAATGAGGGAAGACAGTATTTGATCAAGTAAAAGAATACCTCTCAGAAAATAATATGATCACAAAACTCCAACATACTGCTACGTGCAAAGATGTCATGGAAACAGATGACACAACGATCTGGATAACAGATCGTTGTGTCATATCAGAGCACTCCTATTAGATTTTACAGCAGCACTCAATGTCATCAACCACGAGCTTCTTCTTTAAAAGCTGGAGGGTTACAGATTTAGACCATCAGCAGCTGCCTGGATGGAAAGCTATCTAGCAAATAGATATCAGATATTCTTTAACGGAAGCCACTCAGATAGTGTGTCTGTGGAATGTGGTCTTCCTCAAGGGAGCGGCCTTAGCCCACCCTCCATCTATACCAGTCATTTACACTTGTATCCCCAATGCTAAATGAACCATGTACACAGAAGATACTGTAGTATATGCATCAGCAACAACACCTGCTGATTTGACTGCTGTCTCAAACAAGGAGCTAGTTATTATAGGGAAATGGAAAACAAGCTGAATACATCCAAAACAAAAGGCATGAGCCAAAGCTCAGACTTTTTAAAAATAACATATCTGTTGGGGAAGTAAAGAAACTAAACTATTGGGAATCACCCTATGCCCAATAAATTGTCCTGGTCAAAAACATAAACACTATTGACAATAAAATAGGAAGTTCAACAGTAAAGCGATGCAGAAAATGCCTTACTCCTGACTTAACTAAGCATGCTCTGTTTTTTTTTTTTATCTTTTAGATTATTCAAGACAACCAGTGTTTGCTTCTGAGGAGCACAAATTCATAAAATTCTACATGAAATCTAGGTTGCAGCCCTAAGAGCCCTTTATGTTTCCTCAAGAAACAGGCCCTGAGAGGCCCTTGATACTCAAAAAAAGCTTTCCTACTGGATCAAGTGTGCACTAGAGGAAACTAACATTTACTGCAGCACAATAGATTCATAAATGAATGCGTAAAGGAGCATCAAATCCTGTGCATCCTGTGCTTTTCTTCAGTCTGTTATCAGATCTGCATGGTCACTCCTTCCCTCTCCTCAGTCAACATTTCTCCAGGGTTCCACTCCACCTCTCACATATTTCTTCTTCACCTCTCCCTCCAGGTCTTCCTCACTTTGTCTCAGTTTTTCACACAGAGCGATTGAAGATGTCCTGGACGTCTGCAACCCTCCTGGCTCTCCTGGCAGTGCTTCTGGCACTTTCCCGTGAGTTTCATGCAGGACATTTTTAATCTTTGAAGGGTATAGAGGGATGATAGCGTAGTGTCTCTTCTTTTTATTTCATGGAGAGGTTAGCATCAGATTCTGTTTTTTTTTAAATGTGTTTATCCTTTCACCAAGTGTCCCAAGTGGCAGACTCTGCAGCTGTGCCCAGCAGCAAGGGCAGCGCTAAAGACCCACAAGGTGAGGAGCTGCAGCAGCTGCACCTCTTCCTTGTCCTCTTTCTTTGTTCTTGAGCTGATCCTTCTCCTGCTTCCACTGCAGGTCCGATGAAGAGGATCTTCATGAAAGAGGCAGATGCCTCAAACTTCTTCAGGAAACGCAGCAGACGGGGGGCCAAGTCTCAGGATGAGATCAACGGTGAGTCCACTCTGGGTTTGTTTGAAGCAGTTTGGACAGTGTATGTTTGTTTATATCTGTGTCTTATAATAAGCTTTAAGTCAACTTTTCTCACTTAATGCTAAGTATGTATTCATTATTCGAGCTGTAGGTATATGTTACTTACACAGAACGCGATTGTTTGTTTTCCTCACAATAAAACATTTTTGATCCTTCACACTTTCCTTGAAACTTGCATGGCGTGATAAGATCTTTGTCACAGTGTTTTACCCTCAAGCATGAAATAAATTCCGCTTAAGAAACCAGATAGATCCAGCAGAGGTTTGCATGCTTCAGGAATATCCTAGAAATCAAAGCTATAGTCTCAGAAACATAACAACAGGATAGGGTAGACTGCAGCAGACAGCATTATTATCAACAAAAGTACATTTGAATAAAGCATATGAGTATTTTACACCTCTGATAGAAGTGATCTGAATGAAATGTTTTGAGAAAAGTGTCTTGCACAAAACGCCCGTGGAAAATACCAGCACAAAACCATCAGACATCATGCTTATATCCCGGACATAGCCAGAACATTGATCATGTAAAAAAAAAAAGGTAAAAAGTACAAATGCCAAGCAAGCTTCTGTTCAGTGTAGATAGTATGATGTGATAGTGATCAAACCTTTTTTTTTGTCCCTGGGCATAAAGAGACACTATGGGGATGGAATAGTTAACATTGTCAGTATATACACACTTACAGTCTTAGGTCAGGATGTTGAGCACAAAGACACAGCACCTTTATTGTCTGAGGACACTGAATCAGTTTGGTGCCTGATGACTTTGTTTTGAGTTTGAGATACTTCTCTCAATATCAAACAGAAAAAATGCATTGGCAAAGATGATCAAAGTCTGCAGCAGCATCACAGGTACTCAACAAGGTCTGTGGGATTCATATAACAAATAGATGTTAAAGAAAACATCTATCTGACTCAAACATCCAGCACAGACAGCTTCAGACCTTATGCATAAAGATTACTGCGTCAAATACCAACAACAGATACAAATACTCGTTCACTGCTTACTTCCTAAAACATGGTAAAATAAACTCATGATTTTAATCTTTATAATACTTTAATCTAGAGTACTATTATATATGTATTTTTTTATTTGTGTAGCAGGTTATTTCTTATTGATTTATGTGTTTTGCATTATGTGATATAACTGGTATACCTGCAGCGCAACCAATTGCCCTTTGGAGGAATAATAAATTCGACCTGACTATTACTATTTAAGTTATGGGCACAGTTGAAGATTACATTTATTTTCAGGTAAATATTTGAGGTTTTTCACTTTGTCAGTAAGTAAACACGTAAACGACAGGCTGAATGTTTTGTGATGGTGGCAGCTGTTGACTGTTTTCTGAACCTGATCTGAACAGAGGTCACCTCAGACCTGCTCACCACAGCTCTCTGCAGCAGGAGCCACAGGGCAGCATGGAGCACACACACACACACACACACACACACACACACACGAGCACGCGCCTCAGAGTATTTCAGTGAATATCTTCTTCTAAAGTGTTGTGAAAATTCCCATACTGTACCATGTTTGACATTCCCCACTGATTGAACAGTCCTGTTATGTACAGTTCTGGCAGCAGGAAGGTGAGAGCACACAGTGAGACGGTCGCTGTGTGAGTCTGAGTTGTGTAACAGGCTGAGGTTCTTTCTGTGTGTAACAGCAACTAGACACTTTGTGCAGGTAAAGCAGAGATAAAACGAACACAAAGCAGTAAACAGAGTGAAAAGACTGAGGTGCAGTGAGTGGGTGAGCGGCTGGGAGATGAATGAGGAATGTGCCGACACAGCAGAGAGGTCAGATAGAAGCCAAGTAAAAAAAAATGGAGACGAATCAACACTTTGAAGAGCTGCTCATGCTGTATGATGACAGAAAAGCACAGCTCAATCCCAGGTGGAGGAATTTAGTAAAACAATCATTATTAGATCATTTTTGGATGGGTGATTTTATGCTTATTTTGTATGTTCTTTAATGTTTTGGAATCCAATCAGACTCTCTAAACAAATGATGCTGTTTGACTTTGTGTTTTTCTTTTTTTAATGGGAGATTGTAAACTGTGAGCAGCAGGTTTGTTTGTTTGTTTGTTTGCATTCCTTCTTCTGTGCAATATTTCAGAGCATAGCATAACAAAATAGTAGACAGTTGCCCTGGAAAGCCATTCTTTTAAAAATGTTAGCATCATGAATACGTACAGTGTCTGCAGTTTATCTGTTAATCTAAGTGGCTTGAATTCCTGACCTGAGCTCTTCACTGCATGCACTGACTCGTGCAGGGAATCCCATTAAAAGGTCAAAGATCGAGACCTCACATTGGAAAGGTTAACACGGCTATCCCAAACCTTTCCTACATCAGCCAACGTCTCTTTCTAACGTTACTGTAGTCAGTCGGTGTGTGTCTCACTGAGACTCACTTGCACAGCCAAGTTCTGTTCTGGTCTTCTTCATACATCCAAAAGCTGCAGGAGTCAGACGTCACACGCAGGCTCTGTAAGATCCTTGGCTTTATTTTTTCTGTATCAACACTACTCAGAAAACATAAGAAGAGCAAACATGATGAAAATAATGTTTTTCAAGACATGAGGCATTAAGTAATTAAAATCCATCTTCTTTTCAATATTAAACAAAGAGACTATGAGGAGTTTCTGACTGGTTATGAAACAGTCTCATCTAAATAAAAATACCTCTAAATGACTTTAAAAAACAAAGCGACTAGTAGCTGGAAGATAAATATGATCTATTTGTTATTTAAATGCCTGTCTGAGCAGTCACTTTGTCAGATTCTATAGAAGCAATCATATGCAGATGAAACACGCCTTTGTTTTCATTTTTATTAAACAGTAGATTTTTTTGGAAGATTTAAAGATATACACACTCGCGTAGAGGACTGAGTCATCAAAGAGATAAGAAAGCTTTGTCCACAGGCCCTGTAAAAATGAAAATTACTCACGGCTGCTCTAACTAATAAAAGTTTCATGAATTCCATTCCTTATATAGCCTAGGGTTTTCTTCACACATCCACTCCTATAGGCATGAAGTCGTTTGTAGCCAAATAAGCATTTTATCACACAAACATGGCACACTTTACTTAGGCTACTTTTATAGGATATAAGTAGCAACTTAAAAAGTGTTAAAAGATAATATCAGATGAGTTCAAACAGCACCAGCAACACGTGTAGTATCAGCTTTATTAACTTTAATGAATTATTTAAATAGGAAGTTGGTCAAGTTGTGGCAGAAAATCCTACTCTGCTTTAAAAGATAATACCAGGAAACAGAAACCATGCCTACAAGTGACATTGTTATATTGTAAGACATCCCTTAATTGTTTAACTCAAGAATATGTCTTTTGAAAGAAGTAGGATTGTGAATTTCTCCTCCTTATTAATTTAAAATAGACATATTCTAAAGTCTCTTTCATGTCATGTTCCCTTCCCTGATAGGCCTACTTAACTAGAGCCTACACTACATGCTTGCTAGCATTAAGATGACAAAATTTAGAAGGTTATTGGATGTTGCCGAAGGACCTACAGTGACGACACATATCCTGACCAGGTAAAAAGATATCTTTATCTCATTTCCAAAACAAAACTTATGAAACACAGATATTCCGGACACAACAGAATCCCTTCAAAACACCATAGGCTACTCGCTGCATTTGCACTGCAAATAAAAAGAGAAGCATGTTTAGATATTCTATGATAAAGCCTTTATTTAAGAGCCACAACATGTTAACACGTCTCTATGGGTAGCACTTTTCGACAGAACAGACAGAACATTAGGCTGGCACCTGAATAAATGTAAAACACTGTGGCCATGTTTCTTTTTTCCAGCTTGTTGGCAACAGTAACTAAGGGGGCGTGGCTTTAAATTGGCTATTTGCATTATACGAAAGGATGAATTTAGATGGACAGGAAGATGAATTAGAAGCAACTCAGAATTCAGTAACTTTCACGTGAAACATCTTTTTGGAGGAAAAAATGTGAACTTATAAAAGTTTTCTTTTTACCCACATGTATCTCTCTGGATGAGTAAAACCAGCAAGACATGAGTCATTATAGCCTGCTTCTTTGAATTCCTTGGTTGTGCTGGGTTTGATTTGAATCTGCTTCTTCGTCCTGTCTTCTTCGTATACGAAAATAACAGCTTTTGTTCATCCACAGTATGACTCAGTTTTGTGGTTTTCTTGAAGGCTGCAGTCATTGTGTTGCGTTTGTGTGTGAGTGTGTCTTCATGTGAAGGTGAGCGTGCAGTAAAACCTTATTTCCTTTTTTGTCAATGCAGTTTATTTCTTGACTGTTCTTTCCATTTTAACGATCTTCTTAACAGAAGGAACGTGTTAGACCCCAAATCCTCATTTTTTTAAGTACCAGAGGTTGATCCATTCAGGAAGTTCATTGCAATAACAATCTTCCTTACAGCCTGAAGACTTTGATTATATTTTCTTTTGTGAACACAATGATTAAAACGTGTACCCCACTAAAAGTAGTTTGTCCTGCTTGCTCGGTTGAGTCCGTTAATGTAAGGGTATAAAAGGTAATCTTTAAAAAATGTTAGACACTACAAGTTAACATGATTTAAAAGAAAAAGGTTTTCTGATGCCACACTGCACTCTAATAAAAAGTTTGGCTTTGAAATTAAATGAACATTAGTAGAATGGTTAATTTTGTTTTTTTTATTATATGTTTTATTTTTTATTTTAAACATGGTTTTATAGATAAAAAGACGGGTTGTCCCTGTAAACTACTTTTTATTTAATGGAGAAAACATATGCAGATTGTTAAAAATATCCGGGGCTCCATTGAAATGATCCATGTTTTTCAGAGATGTGTCTCCTTGTTTTTCAGCTGAGCAGAGGCAGATCTTAGCTGCAGATGAGCGAAAAAGAGAGTTTCACGAGGAGAAGAGAAATGAGTTTGAGAACTATGCAGAAGAGGAGAACGACGGTATGCGATATCTAATATAGTTCATTTACTTGACCAGCTTCTTCATTCACTAAACTTGTACAATCTTTCAGAACAAGACGAGAGGACCAGAGAGAGCACGGAGCAGTGGAGGGAGTTCCACTACGATGGGATGCATCCTCCTCAGGAGTACAACCGTCACTCCACCTGAGACCGAGAGGGGAGAGGTGATACTGAGGAGATGATCGTTTTCATTAAAGGCATTAAACCTAATATGAGGGGAAGGCATCTTTTCATGTTTTCCACTTACATTTATGAATGCAAAAAGCACAGAAGTGCAAAACTTTATTACATGACAGAACATATTTGTTTATATTATGTACTATGGATAAACGAATGTCTTCAATAGTGACTATTTCATAACATGCATGATGACTTCATCATTATAGCTAAAGAAGAATTACAATGGATCTGTAACATATTTAGTTTAAAAAGAACCCATTAAATATTTTTTCCAGTTATAATGAATGGTGAAGTTCCTGATGATTGGGGCGATTAGAGCCTAAAAGGTTTTTTTAAGATTTGCAAAACTTCAATAACCCAAATCCAAAATGACTTGGGAGTTGAGTACTGTATAAAAGGGCTGTCAACCCCAATCACTGATCTAGGCGTTACGATAGACAGTAAGTGATCCAAGTATTGAGATGATTTAAGTGTTTTTTTAAGCTGTCATGTGCAAAGACTTAGAACACATCAACAGAATAAGTGTGAATATATAGGCCTACTGTATTTACCCATATTAACTATAGCCTGTATTTACTCACCTTTCATGCAAACGGTATTATCTTTTAGCGTAATAAAAACCATGTATGCAAACATATTTTGGATGTAAAAGTGTACAAACTTGTACTTATGATATATTGATTTACAGACAAAGAAGCAGCGACACATGCAAACAAGCCTCTTTTTTTTAATACATAAATCTCTACAAATCCAAAGCACATTTCTTCAACAATATGTAATACATGCATACTGAGGGGCCTTCAAAGCTTCATATTTTGCGTTCTGTTATTTTTTGCGGGGAAAAACAGGGAAGACAAAAATAAACACTTAAGACCCAAGCTAAGCTGTGTTGTTGAGATTCGTATTTACACCGAAAGCAAAGGCTTAAATTCAGTATTAACCACAATGTTTGTATATAATCTTATTCAAGTTATGGTGCAGTATTTCCCCCCTGTTCATGTTAAGCGATTTAAATTCAAAGAGAGGAACCACAGAATCAAATACAAAGACAGATACCTTCTCTCTGCTGCGTGAGTCTCGAGTGAGAGAAGGAGAAAGAGTCATCCTGCTAAATTCAACAGGCTGGTATGAAAGCACAGTGTTTAAACACAGAGAGAGAGAGAGAGAGCTGTTCTCAGACCAGCCACTTCAGGAGCAGAAGCAGAGCATGAAATCACAACCAATGAACTACACACTACTGATTTGACAACGCTGCAACGGGAGTTTTCTGAGATACGCATTCATGTCATTTTTATACTTTTTATTTCTTAAGGACTTGAATGCACACTTCACTGATAAACACTTCCTTTAAATCCACAACATAATTCAATCCATTTAGTGTGAGTTAAATTACATTCACACTGTCCACAATGATGATTTTAAAGAAAGAAAGCATCTGTCAAACTCCTCACATGGCACATTAGAGCAATTTGCAGTTTTTTTTTGTTTTTTTTTATGAGTTTTTTTTTCTTTTTCCATCCATCAGCAATGACTGATCACTCTGAGAAGAGGTTTGGTAAGCTTCATGTTCAAGCACATCCCTGAGAACTGGTCACATAACAACAACACGTGGTTGCCCTCCTGTGGTCAAGGAGGACTTCAGAGTAAAGTCAAAACTAATGAGTGAAACTGAACAGCGATTATAATGTAAAAATTAGTAGATTATCATATCTTTATCAATGCAATAACTTCAGTCCAGTCTAATAACACATGTACATGTACATGTTTTTGCAAGTGGTATTCTTACAAAAGTGGTAATATATTGTAAGAAAATAAATAATCCAATGAGTGCCAAGCCCTCTCAGCCTTCACAGCTGTGATTAAAACACATTGTCCCGCTCGTGTTCCACGTCCGCACACTTTAAAGCAAAGAGATAACGCACACTGTCACTGCTGGGAGTTAAGACCCTGTGGAACCATTGGAGCAAACACGACCGCAAATTAACAAGAGCTGTCAAAACGAGTGCAGATGATATCACAATTATTCACCACAGCTTGAAGCTCACTGTATATTTCACTCGCATAACATGACTCCACTCAACAGTTCCAAGCAGGATATTTACACAAGGCAAACAGTGGAGCGTCATGTCTTAAGACGCTCACAGTCAAAAATGATAGCAGCTTCAATTATGAGTTCCTTTAAGTGTGGTACTTCTGAGACCAGCTGCAGGTTTATCTTCCAAGACAAGCAGGATCCAGACTGAACATGGCTTCCACAACAACATCTCCTGGTTAGCATCCTCCCCTCTGCACCTCCACGCCTCTGTGACAAAGAAAGGCAGCAGGGGGCTGCTGTGCTGAGCCAACATAAATGGAGCTGAACCAACGCTCCTCAAATTCCTCCCGTTGGTTGGCAGAAACAGGTGGGAGGTTGCGGGATGAGCAAACTGGGCGACGGCTTTGAATCACAAGACCTGGCATGGTTTAATTCAAAGCTCCGTGGTCTCCCAGCTCACCTCCCGCGGAACCTGGCGTCATTTAGTCCCCGTGTGGATGACAGTGACCGTGGAGGGTCGTGGTCTCGATGCCTCGGCCACCGCTGATGGCTCCTCTTGTATAGGAGAGGTGGCGTCAGAGTCCTGATTGTAAACTTTAACAGCAGACGGCAGAGGAGCTATCGAAGAACCTGTGGAAGAAAAAAACAGATTTAGCAAACTGCGGCCTAAGTAATGAACGAGTGTTATTTGAAGACGTCATTTTAGACGTTTCTTTCCCGATGTAATTTTATGGAGAATAAAGTATTTTTGGGTCCATTGTAGTCCGTGATGCTGCAAATCAAGTTCGGCCACCGTGTTAAACTTTCCTGGGGCTTGGCTAACACCAATGTTAGCTAGCTTACTTAATCATCAGCTAGGTATTAACGCCTATGCTATTGTACGATGTAACACTAAAAACATTTGTGGAAGTTAAATGCTAACAATATCTAACCAAATGCTAAGCTAGCTTAAATTAATACTGTATAATGCTTAATATGAACATATGTAGCTAATTGAAAAATATTACAATTGATAAATACAAAATAAGTTGAAAGAATATATCAGATATTTTGTGTTTTAAGGACCTAGTGTAACAAGATCTTACATTAAATCAAATGGTATCAGAGTTTGACACCAGGTCATGACCACACGGCTTGGTGTCAAACTCAATCGTCTGTTTAATAGAAAGATCACTGTTTGAGGGATTTTTTAAGCGCTAGCTGGAGGCCTCAGCAGAGTCACAACAAAGTGCTGCGTGACTAAAGCTTGGACATGTTTGTGTCTACAGAGGGCATCCGAAGTGTCACTCACAATCGTTCAGAGAGAGCGGGGCACAGTCCACAGACTGGCTCTTGGCTGGAGCGTGGCTCTGAGGGTTGGACACAGTGCTGTTGCTTTGAATGCTGCTGCCAAAGCTGGTGCCAAGCTTCAGGCGCCTCATGTGGCGAATCACAGCTGTAGCATTAAACGCTTGCTGTGAAGAGAGGTTGCAAACAGACAAATATAAATGCGAAGAACGATCCCTGGAGAGGGAAACATCACTGTATGCTTAAGCTCTTAAAAGATACAGAATATTGTGGCTGTGTTTTCATTAACTTTCATAAATAGGGTCTTGTGTGCTCACCCTCCATTTGCTTTTGGCAAAGTTTTTCCGCATCTGTCGACTGACTGACTCGTGTATGTTCTTGCAGAGAGCAGTGTCTCCAGCAATCCTGAAAAATCAAAGTCAAGTCTTATTAGAACATGCAAAAAATAACAAATACAAACACAGCATTTATTATATTTGTTTGTGTTCAAACTTTCAACTGTCCTCATGCTGTTTTTCGTTATTTTCTTGGATTATTTATTGAGTTATTCATCTGTGATTTATGGGGTGATTCTTTTTGCTTTCTCACCTTCTGTTGTATTCATCATAATTTATCAGCATGAAATCTTGTCAATGAAAGCCATTTCTCTGTGTTATAATACCTGTTACCTGTGTCACAAATACACATATTTCTATTAAAAACGACCACCTGCCAAGGACCCAAAAGGCCCATTACTGACTAACAGACCTATTCATATTGGACACCAAAGCCAGAGACAGCAGCCCACGCCAGCTTGCTCTCGTTAGCTCCAGCTCAGGCCTGGGAAGACATCCTAATTGTTCATTAAAGCTTCCACATTCTTCAAGCATCCTTCAGGAGACCGGCCACTAATTGGCAGCCATTTATTCAGCAGATTTATCTTTGAGGGGCCTGCGACGCCAAGCAGAGGTGGGTTTGGGGCTTGGAGCCATGGAGACAGATGACAGTGGGAGGACAAGCACTATATGACAAATGTGTAAGCCTGGCAATTTGCGTCACACCGCTGTTTCGCACTAAGATGTGTGATTCCCTGTGACTGTCGGGTTGCGAAGCAGTGTAACGGACGGTTAGTGTTTCTCACCAAGGATGCTCGAGAGCCTGGTCACATGTGAATCTCTTCTCAGGGTCCTTCTCCATGAGGCAGCTGATGAAGTCTTTGGCTGTGGGGGAAAATGGAAGAGGTCAAAAACACATCCTTTACACATTGTTTTTTTTTTTTTTACTCTACCACAGAAAAGTATTTCATGGAAAAGTGTATTATTTACCATAGAAATATAATTTGGCAGGAACTACCAGGAAAAAAAGACAACATTTTCTGGAGGTGGTCCACAGTGATAACAAGTTCAGTTACTTTTTGATTGTAGGAGCAACCAGGGAAAGTTGTTCATAAATGGTGGATGATTGCCATAAGAACAACTAAAACTTTAAGACTTAGAAAAACCTACTGGGATGCATATAAACTCAATGAAATACTCATAATACAGGGAATTTGTTTGATTTATTTATTTATACAACAAATGACTGTTATAAGTCTCTGGAGTCTGTTCAAACTAATACAAAAACAAATAAACAAAAAAAGAAGAGCACTATATTACTTTTATTGAGGGAGGGGCTTTAGGCCTTTACTCAGATAGGACAGTGTATGGAGCTGAGAGAGAGGGAGATGGCATGCAGAGGCCACCTGCTTCAAGGACAACAGCCTCTGTTCATGGGGGGGGCGAGCACAAACTAACCACTAGGTGAGGCGTCACCCCAAAAGGACTACATTTCTTGCTTAGAGAGTTTCAGTGTGACCTGATTAGCATGAGCTTGCTAACTTTGTCAGCTTTAACCTGCTTACTGATGATGTAACATGATCTGAACTGACCGCTGACTTTATAGTCCAATACAAGAAGATTCATGTCCTAATTTCCGAAATGTAAACATAAGGAGCACTTTAAGCATGTTGAGCAAAGTATCTTACATTGACTTTGGAGGACAAGGATTAGAAAACAGTTTCAATGTGTGGCCAAGGACCAAGAACTTGAAAAAGCAAGTGCATAGAAAAATAGAGGCAAGGCACAAAGAAACAAACTGATGTGTCATAGCTCACCAGATTCTGATATGTCGTCCCAGTACGGTGCATCAAACTCGTAGTCTGCCTTGAGAATTTGTTCAAAGAGCTTGGAGTCATTCTCGTCGTAGAAAGGAGGATAACCGCACAGCCTGAGGAGATGAAGACGGTTGATTACACAACAACAACAACAACCCGTGCGAGCGCACTCATCCAGCTGCTGTTGGAAATTTTAACCCAAATCTAAAAGGATTTGCTGTGGTTTAATCTCATTCACAGGCAGTTTGATTTTTCATACAGCGGGCAACAGGAGATGGGTCACAGGGATTATATACAGAATACATGGACGATAAGAGGGAAAAAAATGGGGACAAAACATTCTATTTTTATATGATATGGAAGAAAGTTAAAATAACAACCACAGACATAACATCCACTGAGATGGTCTTTAAGTCTTTATGTGAGGGGATCAGAAACTCTTTCACTTAATTACACTTAAATCCATCACACCTAACGAATGGATTACAACACCAGGGATTTTCTGTTTGCTAACGAGTTACAAAACTGAATCAGTTTGGAAGCTTCATGTAACATTTTACATTTAATAACAACAGTAGCTGTGGGAATCCTAAGAACCACAATCTGTGTCCCTCAAAATATTGGTTCAGAATCAAAATATGTTCGTTTCAGTCTGGTTTTGTTTAATTAATGAAGTTGTCGTGGTTAAATACAGATTTTATGTTGTCTGAGATGCAGCTTTGATTTCTTCAAATGTCATCATGTTTTTGATCATTTCAGTCACTCCAGGGAGCGGCCCTAAGATAACAGCTGGATGATGATCTTTAGGACTTTCCCTCACTTTTCTCCAAACTAAATTATCTCAATATCTTAATGGTCCCATAAAGGTGAATCCTGGTTAATTTGGTGATCATTTGATTTATCATCAGTCATTATATTTCACTTTTTTTAGAGACTTTTCAGCGCTAACATGTGAGCCACATACGTGTATCAAGATTTAAATCCAATTAACTGCAAAGGCGCCGACATTCAAATCAACCAAAATTTGTTTTTAGTGGCAATTAGCCAACCCACTAAACCTAAGATGCGTTCTGAATCTATGCAACATATTTATATTTATGCACATATATCCAACCTTTCAGCCATAATATACCATTTATGATGAGTAAATATATCACATTATGACATTTTAGACCAACAGGAAATGATACAAATGTGTTGTTGTTTTAAACCAAGACTTTGAAAGGTCAATGTTCTAGGTTTGCTTTAGAGTCTTGTTTGTTAATCAATCATAACCCCGTTACAGGTCATTACTCAGTTTACATTTTTATTTATTTATATATTAACAACTGATGAATATTCTCTTTTATCTCTTTATAAAGTTTCATTGGTGGTCACTGATTCAAATTTGGGCTTTTTGTGTAAATAAAAAAAGAAAATCCAGCAGTCATCACAACAAAGAGCTTCAGTTAATAACCAAATTTATATTTAAAGTGAGCACTTACAGTATATAAGCGATGACCCCAATAGACCAGCAGTCCACAGCCTTACTGTAGGGCTTCTGAGCTAAAACCTCAGGAGCTAGGACAATAAAATATATATAATTAATGATGAGAAAACTATCATGAATCCAGTAATACAAAGCAAGCATTTTTTTTCCAAACAGTTCATTACAAACAAGGCAGGAGACAAATGTGAATGTTTGTGTGGTTAGCCTGCAGCAGATGGCTTAAGTCATCCTGTGGCTAATGGCAGATTAAATTAGATCATCTTGTTTAGCCAACTAGTGGATCTAATTATCTCAGAGTAAGTTTCCACAATGCTGGAAAGAGCTCCGAGGGCATCCTTACCCACATATCCTGGAGTCCCACAGGCGGTGGCCATCACGTCACCTGTGCCCTCCATCTTTGACAAGCCGAAGTCGCTGATCATTATCTTCGATTCATCATGTGGACTGAAGTATAGCAGGTTCTCAGGCTGGAAAGGAGAGCAAGAGTCAGAAAAAGAATTGAGTTTGTCTTTGAGTGTTCATGTGATGTTTTGTCTGAGATTTCAGACTATATATGCATTTATCTCTCAAGAATCAGGGGGGAGTGTTAACAGCTCACCAAAGAGGGTTTTGGTGAAGAGAAGTTTTCCAGAGAAGGAAAGTCCCCTACATGTCACCTCTGTGGGCGATCCTCAACAAGCTCTCAGTGATTTCCCTCGCACAGGTTAAATAGCAGGGATTTCCCCCCTCAATACGATTTAAGATCTCTCCAAGTCCAATTACAACCAATTTAAATGTCAGGGGTAATGCAGGAAGTTAAAAAAAGATTGACAGAACTAGAACAACAAACAAAGGCTGCCGAAACACTCTTTGTGTAACAATTGTTTTTATTTTACCATGAGTAATAAAATAATAAAGAATAAGAATACAGAGACTGAAACTGTAGAACTGAGTGCAAAAGGCCTCAAGGTCTAAAAGGGCAAACCAATTTAAGAAAAACACAAAAACTAGAACATTAATATATTTTAGTCTACAGTATTGAATAACAAAATATCATGTTTAGCTAAAGAGAAAAATCCCTGAAATTCCTGTTCCTTATCATTAAGACCGAAAAGCTCTCCTAAAATGTCTCGTCTCCTTTTTTATTGCACTTTATCCTAGGAATACCGGTTGCTGTATTTTGTCACTTCTTAATGTTTCAGTATGAAACAGTACATTTTGCTCCTGTTATTTCCATCTCCATCTATATTAAAAAGGAAATAATCTTAAGAAAAGGCAAAGGGGTAATAATGGATTTGAAGTGTCTAAAAATGTATTTTGTTTTGGATTTTGAAAATTTAAAAAAAAAATCTGAGAATCAAAAAAAGAACTTTGAGTTTTCTTTTGTATCTTTCATCTCAAGAAGTACACTGATTTAAACAAGTTTTTTTTATTTATGATAAATAAAATCTTATGTCATTGTGGTAACAAAGCTAACTTTTTTTGCAAACATCATTCTAACCCTCTAAACAACAAATGCATCGGATTGTGAGACACTCTTTGTGACCACTATTCAAACCATGAATGAAATATCCTGTTATACCTTTAGGTCTCTGTGCACTATGCCCATAGAGTGCAGATAGTTGACTGCATCCAGGACCTGTCTGATGAGCCGACTGGCATCCATCTCTGTGTAGAAACCTTTCTCTACGATACGGTCAAACAGCTCACCTCCAGACACCCTGTAGGCAACACAGAACATAATACAGTGCTGATTATTTTATGGGGCTTTTTCACTGCCTGGATAGAGTTAAAAACTGAGATGAGAGAGAGAGTGGGGAATGGGTTAGGTCGGAGTCGAACCCGAGCCGCCCGCTTCGAGGACTATAGCCTCTTTAAATGGGGCGTGCAACATAACTGCTAGGCTATCCAGCACCCCATCGCTGATTTAGTTCTTGATCATGTATGTTTCAGTAGTAGAACATTTCCTTTTTTGATTTCTAAAATTATATTTTCTAACTCAATAGCTCCGAGTCAAAATGTAAAAAAATAAATATGAAGAAGCACATGCTGCTCTGTTTACCTTTGTCTTAAGGGCCTGGTGTCCAGGATGTTTGAGCTTTTTAAGCTTTACTTTTATGCATTATTTACCTAAAGACACTAAAGCTCAAGTTAGTTGTCAATTACTCTGAGAGCAGACTTACTCTGAAACTGCCAACTTATTGAAATGAAACTCACTGACTTTGTCTCTTAAAAATGTAAATCATGACTCATGTTTCTTTTGTCAGAGGACTTTTTGTTTGCACCAAAATGATTACAAATATTTTAATTCTGGCATGTGTTTACTTATTCATTCTTCTTATTTGACCGAACAGGACTCAAATACTTCCTAAAAAAAAGGGTTGAAAAGTAACTGGTACATATACATATTCAGTATATTTAATACAAACTGTTAAATATAGTGCAGTAGCCCAACAGAGTGCAGTGATACTGTGGAGCTTTGAATTTGAAATGCCATTTGAGGCTGTTGTTAAATCAGTTTGCGCTTCATACTTACTTTGTTTTTTAAATGCAGGTTTTAGTATTTATCAGGAGAGGAACATGATTTTTCTTTAAGGCCTGCCTGTTTTCACTTTATGTAACCTTGAAGAGTTTGCATCTCGTGCGCAACTTTAAACTGTGCTGACAAAACCTCAAAGACTGACCAGTATTCAGTTCAGCATCAATAAAAAGACAAATAGCACTCCGCTTTTTACTAAGGTGAGACTTCCAGACAACACTAAGCACGATGAGGTCACATAATCGCTGGCTTAATTGTTGTTGCATTAGACACGAATACTAAAAATGTTGTTTTGAGGGCAGAGGTCTCTGTTGTCATGTGATGTATGTCACACAGGAAAAGGCCATTGTCACACAGGAATGGTTTTCACATGTTCACCACAAACGCTGACTGAACTTTTACTGTGAACATGCATACTAAAAATACTTTGTGGAAAACCAGCATAAGTATTAACGTTTTAATGGAGTTAACAGGTGTCACAGCTTCAAAAGATGAAGATTAAACTGTGATTAAGCTGATTCCTTTTCTTTCTTAGAACTAGATCAGAAGATTGATATAGTTAGCTTAGCTTGGCACAATGACCGGGAACAGCTGGTTCAAAACTTCAGTCTGGCAGACCCTCGGATGTTCACAAATGAATACATTAAATCATTTTAGCTACAAAAACAACAAACTGTGAAACAACACATCTGGTTTTATGGAGTGTGTTTTACAAATCAAGATGAGTGCATTTAGTTGTCCATGTGTCCAAGTTAAGGTGATGAAAAGGCAGTTACTTCTAGTATTAAGCGGCCTCAGTAAATTCAATAGACATGGACTGAAATTTGAGTTATACGTTTTTATTTTATAACATCATATAAGAACCACTGTAAAAAAATAATCAGTAGCCGTTGGAGGGATAATATCGATACAAAATGTGTTCCTGGTTTGAAAAAAGCTCTGTGACTCAGAAATAAGACACCTCAGAGGGACAAACAGGGGTTAATCCTCCACATGAAACCATTTCTTTAACACTTCAGTATTTGTATGTGTCAAAAAAAACAACAACATTTCTTTGAACAGAGCCAGGCAAGTTGTTTACCCTTGTTTTCAGTCTCGTGCTAAGCTGAGCTAACCTGCTGCTGGCGCTAGCTTAAGATTTCACAGACAGATATGAGGCCGAATGAATCTATGATCCAACTCTTTGATAAACATTCTTCCCAAGTCTCTCATCTGAATTCCAGCTTCACCAGGCTCGTCTTAATCCCATTTATCTTTAAAGCATCACTGTTTTCACTCAGATATTCATCTGAGGAAAATAACTGCCCTAAGGAAACTAGATGCTTATTCAAGCAATAAAAAAAACACATTATCAAAACATTACTGGCCGAGCAATGTGGTTGTTGGTGTACTTACAGTTGCATTATGAGGTACAGGTGATTTGAGCTCTCGTAGATGTCCTCCAGAGCCACAATATTCTCGTGTTTTATCCTGGAGAGGGAGAACAAAGAATTCATTTTATTTGTTGTCAGCCTCAGTGTAGTTTGGAACAGCCCACTAATGAGGTGCTTTTAGCTTTTATTCTTTAGAGAAAATGATGCCCTGCTAACTGAAAACAAATCATTTTTAGTTCTCCATTACTGCATATCACCTGTATTACTGTGTGTTTCTCACAGTCATTCAGTTGTACATGTGTGTGTGTGTGTGTGGGAGGGTCTTAGGAGATGCCAATGAGTCATGAAGCGGCAACCCCCTTCAGCAGGGGCACCTGAAGAAAATAATGTACAACAGACCAAGAGGTTCGGAGTCTGTGTCCAGGCAACCAACCATCAAGGTTGTATTATAAAAGAAAAGAAGCCTCTGCTTGGAGATATGCAGATGACAGAGCGTGTTCACAAGTGCAGGTGGCTAAAAAAGAAAAAAAGTGGGGGTGGAAGAGGAGGACGCATCTCAAAGGACCGAACAACCCTCACAAACTTGCCATCTATGTCCAGAACGAGAATGAGGCTGCAGGCTGAGGGCTGTTCAGACAAACGGATTGAGGAGAAAGAAAAAGGATGAGAAACCAAGACGGCGAGAAAAAAAAAAAGAGGAGGAAGTCAAAGGTAGCAACTGTAACCAGGCAACTACACCCAACAGCTGGCATGCTGGAGTGACTGATACCTGAGCTTCTCGGGGGAATTACCCATCAGACCACGGAGGAGGATGGAGTGTCACCTGGTGTCAAAGCAATCCTATCATACTTTTTGTGGCAGAGTGTGATTGTGTGTACACCGCCCAGGATGGAGGATAGATGGGATTTGACAAGGGAGTCACTTAAGACCGACAATGGCTGTTTAATAGACTGACTGGCATTGGCATCTAAACTGTGAGCCATTAGCCGTATTCACACTGTGGATGTTTTCCTCTGACACATCGCTCAAATGCTGCTACAGTGACACAGGCTATGTCCCAAGTTAGTGGCTGCACCCTTCGGAGGTGCGCGTTTGAGGACCGACTGCGTCACAACGGTCACGTCGGAGGCTGTCAGTCAAATGTGGCCAACACATGATCCTTTTCTTTACATCTTAAGATCCATCTGGAGCATCCTTCAAGGCCCAACATTTTCATCGCACGCCAATTAAAACGAGCTTGCGGACTCTAATGCAAACCAAACATAGCTTTTAAAATGTAAGTAATTGGTATCAACCTAAATAATAATGTAAGAAAAAAAGGGGGTTGAAACTTCAAATAATCTTTAAAGTAATAGGATAGGTTCAGTGACATTAGTGATGTCAGCTAGTTCCAGTGCAGCTCTTGAGGTTGCTAAGCAGCTGGTTACAATGGTACAATTCACTTAGCAGACGCTTATATCCAAAGCGACGTACATAAGTACAGAGAGTAAGTACAGCACTAATCCATTCATACACAGCCACTGAAGCAGAGAGGGAGCAATGCAGGGTTAACTGTCTTGCCCAAGGACACATCGAACATGTTGCTCAGCTAGGGAATGAACCCTCGACCTTCCGATTGAGAGGCGACGATTCTACCAACTGAGTCACAGCCGTCCACGGATAATGCAAACAGGTGATCCCCCATAGACCAGATTCCCTCATTTAATGTTCAACCTAAAAGGATCATTGCAGGCCATGGAGGCAAGGACGTTCCAATGATATTACCCCCGAAATGAGACACGGCTATCATAGTGTACACCGCATGTCACACCCATTCACACGCTGATTGCAGTGTCTTGCCCAAGGACACATTGAACCTGTTGCTGCAGGAGTTGGGGGGATTGAACCCTCAACCTTTCCGAATGGGAGCGATAACGACTCTCCAACTGAATGGATGAGTTGCCCGTAGAGAAAGGTCTGTGAATACCTTTCATATGGTTTTGACTAACTTGTGGTACCTACTTCCGAAGCACAGCGATTTCATTCTCGATGCTCGTCTCCTTCCCCTTCAGCGCTTTCTTCGGGATGCACTTGATTGCGACCATCTTTCCTGTGGTCTTCTCCCGAGCCATCACCACCTCAGAAAATGCACCGCTGCGAGAGAGAAAGGAAAAACATGTTAGCCCTGCTTTACATGCACTTAGGCAATATTGACACTGAAAACCTATGGTGTGTGTGTGTGTGTGTAGATACAGGGCACTCAGGCCAAAGCACACAAACAGCATATTGTGAATATTTACTGAGAACTGGTTAATCCCTGACTATGACCAATAGCTTCATACTAGGTGCTCGTGTGAGGCCAGAAAGCATAGCAAACACTTTTAGAACCACTAAAAACACCCATTTAAGATAACAGATAGCGTGTCTTCTTCGACCATCTGCCTCCATAAATGAGAGCTTTTAAAAAACAAATACAGAATTAAGGGAATATTTGCTCAAGCAATCTGTATCTGTTGCTATGATACCACATTCGGCCCACCTTAATAAATCCTGCTGAACAGGCAGCATGATTGCTTTTTTTCCTCCCCCCTGTGGTCTTGTTTTCACTGAGCACCTTCACAGGAACCTTTTCCCGACGTGCTCCCTTAAGCACAGCTTCATGTGAAGATTAAACAAAAGGATTGATGGTTTGGAATTCCCTGGGCCACGTTTACAGGACCAAAACAACAAATGTGATCTAAATAATCCTTGATCCACTGATGACCTCATGCCTCTGATAAACTTAATGCAAGAAATAAAATAGTAAACTGAGCCTGAGGCCATAATACTGAGATGTTTTGGAGTGCCGTCTACAAACCCAATCTTCAAAGAGAATATTCAGCCTTAAAAGCCACGAGTAGTTCTCTGTATATTTTACACTACAGCTATGTGGTTTATTTTACATTTGTCCTAATTGCATGTTTTTTTTTAATGTATTATTATTTAAAGTTTTTAACGGCTCATATAAAAGTTCATATTTTTTCAAGCTAAACTAGTAGGTGGATGTGGGTGACACCTTGTCAATCATGGGGTCTTTCAGTTACATATGGTATGTTATGTGTAATGTCTTATAGACACAAATCCATCTTTTTTTTTTCAAAATGTGTACATGTTGTTTGCTTTGTAGTTATAGCCAAAAGGTCTATTTTCATAAATGACAACTCTAGTCCCTGACTCTCGCTGCAACCAAATGTACCTACGGGTACAAATAAAGTAACCTGAACCTGAGTCCAGCTGTTATTTGACAGAAGCCATGTCTTTCTTTCCTCCAGTTTAAAAAAAAAAGACAGACATTTTAACCTCATAGATGTATCTAGAATTTGCCAATTCATTATGTACAAAAAAGCAATTACTTTTCAACCACACTATTTTTTTTTTAATCATCATAGCCATTATTGAAAGACATTGAAGGACAGGCCTGGAGAATATGGAAATGGCAGCAGTCTTTTGAAACGATTCTGCTTCCTGCACTTGCCCATCCTTTCCTTTCAAAAATAGGTTCAGGGTTATCTTCAAAACTAAAAGTGAAACAGAGAAATACACCTTAACTGATCCACCGCCTCAAAGAAAGCAAGACAGCTACCATCGAAAGGTCCATTATGTTCTCAAAGTGTAATCGGTTCCTCCCAACAGGCTCTAAACTGAGTTCCACTCACTGCACTAAGTCCCACTGAGGCCATCAAATCCATGCTAATCCCTCACTCCACTATCACACAGCAGGGGGGGAAGGGTCAGTCAGAGCCGCAACACATTAACACACAGACTGTGCATAAAGATATTACCTTATGGTCACACATTCTGCCCCAGGTGTGATGGGTTGAAACACACAGACTGCTTACAAAAAGAACTGAGAGGGCCTGGAGTAAACGCTCCTCTGACTTTGACCTTGTTTAGACACATGTTATGGGACAGTATGTAAATACAAGTGAGGGAGCTGTTGCTCTACTCGCTGGCCTGTTACAGCAACCACTTCCTCCTACAGCTGTTGCCGTGAGACAACAAGCATCATTTCTATTTAACACATGTAACCCATTCTCACAGCTGGATGGATTAAGAAGTAGAAAAATGATTTCACAAGCAGGATGAGCCTGGCATGCATTCTTTTGCACACTCATTTTTTCAGTGCACGCTACATTTTCCTCTCTGCAGCAGAAGACACACAATGACACGAAACCACAGAAAACCTGTAAACGTACTAAGTGGGTAGGAGGTTTGAGCGTATATAGCATCTTTTCTGTCCCCCTGCTCACCACATTGACAGGCAGGAGCATCACTTCCTGAGAATGACAACATGACAGAATTGAAGCCTGTGACTATCCTCACTTTGTGAATTCATGAAGCATGACAAACTGCTGCAACAATCTATTAATGCTTCATTCACAGGAAAGAAAAGATGTGGTATCTGTTTAAGACATGCATATGGTGACGCTACTGCTCACCTGCTGTATCTGCACATACAAACACTTCATACATACAAAGCTACAGTAGGGTTAGGCATATGCACAGCAACCACACATTATTCTACAGCGTAAAGCTGTACGTACAAAGACAATTCATGAAAGTCTGTTTTGGTAATAGGTAAGTGTGATATTCCAGCAAAAGTGTCAGATACTCACAAGTCCCATCTTTCTACAACTTGGTGTTTTTAGTCGTCATTTATGAAATCTTTGGACTAATTAACAAAGCAAGTGAAAGATCCCCCTTCCTGGAAAGTTGCAAAAAGCATCCTCACAATTAATTTTAAGACTTAATAGACTGAATGATTAATCAAGAAAGTAACATTTTAATCAATTATAAAAACAACGCTTCGTTGAAGTGCCTCTTGGCTCAACAACCCAGCACACCAAATTCATTTCTGGAACAATCCGATATGATCTGCAGATACATTAAAAGGGATACTTCACCCATTTGCATTAAGCTTTGTATCATTAGAAACCTGGTAGTATTTTTGAATGGTCGTGCATCCCGTCCTAATTTTCCCCTGAGATGTGAAATCTTTGTATTTTTAAGTCTGAAAAGGAGCTTCCGATGATGCAAAAATCATCATATTGCATCATTGGAAGCTGTTGTGGTTAGCAGGGTGAAACTACAACGCTAGTTCCTCATATTTTCGACCACTGAAGCTACAGACCTATCACAGATCAGTGGGTGGGAACTAACTCCCAGAATCAAAACTTGGCCAGCCCGTCGGCAGCAACCGTCTCGCGGCTATATTGCTATATTGCTGGACACCGCCGGCCGCTGCCAGCTCAGCAGCCGCGAAATAAGGCCTGCCTGTCGGCGGCGGTGAGGACGAGGAGCCGGGGCCGGCTCGAGCTGGGGCGGACTGGTAGTGTCGGTGCTCTCACTGTTTGCCTGTGGACACAGACATAGAGTCTGTTTTCTGCCAGGAATTTCCAAGATACTAATTTCTTCTGGAAGAAATCTCGGAATCAGTTGAGGAAACGGCCTTATGTGTTGAAGTAAATATGTCTGTAAACCTGACCTTAGTGGGAGGGGCCTGCAGTGCTGTGCATTCTGGGATGTGGTGTCTTTCATTCATATGAGCCAAAAAGACACTTTCTGCCTTTTCTCGGCCAAGAAGGAACAAACTTCACATTTCTACTATATATGACCCAATGTCAATACAGATTCATGTTTCAACGGGTGAAGTATCCCTTTAGGTAATAAGAGAAAGCTCCATCTAAATGAGGCCATTACTGAAGCTCATCTTAATCTATTACGCAAGATAAATATGATTGTATGGCTGCAAAATGTTCCTGACCCAGTATCACAAACTGTACAATCAAGCCCGCACACAGACTCTCTGGTGGAATAATAATAGTTGCATTTTAAATTCTTCCCAGAGACAAAGAGCTCCCTCCTTCACGTCTCTTGGATGACAGTATGAGCTGTGTGTGTGTGTGCGTGTTGCACAGTTTGTAGTCACCAAACACCAGTACACATGCAGGACAGTGAAGCCAAACAGGCTGACTAATGTGAGATGTGAATGTGGGCTGCTCTCTGTGTAAAAGCTGCGGCTGATGCTGCAGATGCAGAGCAAAGCCCAGTATCAATCAGAGAAAAAAAATGTTCAGCCTTCGACCTCGGCCGGTTGTTCAGGGCAATTATACAATTCAGGGCGCTGTTAATGGAAGCTTTTTTCTTCTTGGTGGAGAAAGCGGAGGTGGGGGTCTCACGACTGATGTTGGCTTTATGACATTCACAGGTGGTGTGTGTAGCAAAGTTTGATGAGTAATCACTATGAGTCATGTTGAGTAAAATGCATTTCAGCAGGAGGTTATGCAACATGAATGCGCTTGAAGAGTAGGGACTTGATAATCCGGGAAGAGCTACCGCCAAGGTAACCTGCTGCGTTCAAAGTCACCTTTATAAAGGGACAACGACAGCTTTAGGCAGACACACAGGACAGATGGTGAGATTATTATTCACAGGAAATAAAATATGTACACAGTTTGAGAAGGAATTATAATAGAAGAAATGTAATCAAATGGCTTTCAATAAGTATACACTTGGAATGCAACTGAAGCAAAGTCATTGTTATGATCATCTGGAAAGAACTGGGCGGTGGCTTTCAGAGATAAAAAGAAAAGCCAGTGTAGAATTCCCAAACTGCAGTTCCTCGAATTGCCTCTTGAGGCTCTCTCCAAATGTGTACAATAATCTCCCATATCGAATTGCCAAACTTTAAACAAGATTTAACATATTAACAGTCTGCTAAAAAAAATTGTTTCACTCTTTCATACTAAGCTCAAATGTATATAAGATAACTGCATGTAGGATCAATTGAATGTTACACAGCCAGTTAAAACAGATCAGGACAGGGCTTGGCTTTGACCTCAGCGGGACCCCTTGGATTCTCGGAGGTGTTTAGGGTTTAATTGTATTTTGGAGTATTTTTAATTGAATTTTGACAATTAACATCACTTGCAATGCATTAAAAGTACCATAAAAGAAGTATGTGCAAAAGTACTTAGCAGGTATTACATCTTGGCTCACCATGCCTGGCTTATTAACTTATTAGCATGATAATGTGTAAATTAGTCAGCCAGCAGCAAACCTTGGACCAAGACTGTATAACTGTAACTTAAAAAACTAAGCATCTGCTAACACCT